AGTGATCCACCTGCCTCGGCCTCCCAAAGTGCTGGGATTGCAGGTGTGAGCCACTGCGCCCAGTGTATTGTTCCCATCTTAATGTCCATGTGTATCCAGTGTTTAGCTCTCACTTATAAGGGAGAACATGTGATATCTGGTTTTCTGTTTCTATAATACTTTGCTTAGGAATGGCCTCCAGCTGTATCCATGTTGCTGCAAGGGACATAATTTTGTTAGTTTCATATCTGCATAGTATTTCATGATATATATTGTACTACATTCTTTATCCAGTTCACTGTTGATGGACATCTAGGTTGAATCCATGTCTTTGCTATTGTGACTAGTACTGTGATGAACATAGAAGTGCACTTGTGTTTTTGGTAGAAAAATTTCTTTTCCTTTGGATATATACCCAGTAATGGATTGCTTTGAATGGTAGTTCTACTTTTAGTTCTTTGAGAAATCTCCAAACTGCTTTCCACAGTGGCTAATTTACATTCCCACCATCAGTGTATAAACATTGCTGTTTCTCCACAGTCTCACCAGCATCTGTTGTTGTTGTTGTTTAATTTTTTAATAGTAGCCATTCTGACTGGTATGAAGTAGTATCTCATTGTGGCTTTGATTTGTATTTCTCTGACAATTAGTGATGTTGAGCATTTTTTTTTATGTGTTTGTTGGCCGCCTGTATGTCTTTTGAGATGTGTCTGTTCATGTCCTTTGCCCACTTTTTAATGGGGTTGTTTTTTGCTTGTTGATTTAAGTTCCTTATAGATATTGGATATTACACCTTTGCGATTGCATAGTCTGAGAATATTTCCTCCCAGCCGGGTACGGTGGCTCAAGCCTGTAATCCCAGCACTTTGGGAGGCCGAGGCGGGTGGATCACGAGGTCGAGAGATCGAGACCATCCTGGTCAACATGGTGAAACCCCGTCTCTACTAAAAAAAAATACAAAAAATTAGCTGGGCATGGTGGCACGTGCCTGTAATCCCAGCCACTCAGGAGGCTGAGGCAGGAGAATTGCCTGAACCCAGGAGGCAGAGGTTGCGGTGAGCCGAGATCGCACCATTGCACTCCAGCCTGGGTAACAAGAGCGAAAACTCAGTCCAAAAAAAAAAAAAAAAAAAAAAGAATATTTCCTCCCATTCTGTAGGTTGTCTGTTTACTCTATTGCTAGTTTCTTTTGCTGTACAGAAGCTCTTTAATGAGGTGGAAAGGGGAATGTCTGATTATAAACTGTCATGCGAGATCTTACTTGAGTAAAAGAAATGTTCTGTAACTGGATTGTGTTTTATAACTCTGTACATTTTCTAAAAATCATTAAATTATATGCCTAAAACAGGTAAATTTTATGCTATGTGAATTATACTTCCATAAAGCTGTTTGTTTTTGTTTTTTAAGACATAGGCTAGGTACAATGGCTCATGCCCATAATCCAAGCACCTTGAGAGGCCAGGGTAGGAGTATCGCTTTAGGCTGGAAGTTCAAGACTAGCCTGGGCAACATGGTGAAACCCCATACAAAAATACAAGATTAGCCAGGTGTGGCAGCTTGCACCTGTGGTCTTAGCTACTCAGGAGGCTGAGGTGGGAGGCTTGCTTGAGCTGAAGAGTTAGAAGCTGCAGTGAGCTAAGATAGTGCCGTTGCATTCCAGCCTGGGTGACAAGAGTGAGATCCCATCTGTAAATAAATAAATAAAAATAAAAGACACTAAAAGCAATCAGTCAAATTCAGAACATGGATGTTCTATAAGACAGGTGACCCAATCTAACAGATTAATGGCTTCATAGAGGAGTAAGAAAGGGGAATTTTTTTTTTTTTTTTTTTTTTTTTGAGATGGAGTCTCACTGCCACCAGGCTGGAGTGCAGTGGCATGACCTTGGTTCACTGCAGCCTCTGCCTCCTGGGTTTAAACAATTCTGCCTCAGTCTCCTGAGTAGCTGGGACTACAGGTGCATGCCACCAAGCCCAGCTAATTTTTGTATTTTTAGTAGAGACGAAGTTTCACCATGTTGGCCAGGATGGTCTCAATCTCTTGACCTCGTGATCCACCCACCTCAGCCTCTCAAAGTGCTGGGATTACAGGTGTGAGCCACCATGCCTGGCCAGGAATTTTATTTTTAAGAGTCAAGGTCTCAGCTAGGCATGGTGGTCCATGCCTGACATCCTAGCATTTTGGAAGGCCAAGAGAGGGGGATCCCTTGAGCCCAGGAGTTCAAGACCAGCCTGGGCAACATAGTGAGACCCTGTCGACAAGTTATTTGAAAAATTAGCTGGGAATGGTGATGCATGCCTATAGTCCTAGCTACTCAGAAGGTTGAGGCAGGCGAATAGCTTGAGCTAAGGAGCTCGGCTACAGTGAGCTGTGATTGCCCCACTCCACTCTAGCCTAGGCAATAGAGCAAGACCCTGTCTCACACACACACACACACACACACAGAGAGAGAGAGAGAGAGAGAGATTTCACTATGTTGCTCAGACTATCCTCAAACTTCTGGGTGCCAGTGATGCTCCTGCCTCAGCCTCCTGAGTCGCTGAAACTGTAGGCACACACCACTGCACCTGGCTAGAAAGGGGAACTTTTATGGAATTTTGTGTTTTTTTTGAGACAGGGTCTTGCTCTGTTGCCCAGACTGGAGTGCAGTGGTACAGTCATGGCTCACTGCAGCCTCAACCTCTTGGGCTCAGGTGATTCTCCCACCTCACCCCCAACACAAGTAGCTGAAACTACAGGCTTGCACCACCACGCCCAGCTAGTTTTTATATTTTTTATGTAGAGACAAGGTTTCACGAGGTTACCCAGGCTGGTCTCAAACTCCTGAGCTCAAGTGATCTGCCCGCTGCAGTCTCCCAAAGTGCCACAAATCACATTTGCTACAAGTCGTACTCAACATTTGCTATAATCTATTCCTTGAGGAATTTCTTAGAAGTTGAGAATTTCAGAAAGTTAAACCAGGAAAGTACTTTTTACTTTCTTCTTGTCATTTGTATACATTAATTGGCTTGTGTGTGGTATGGGTGTGGGATTCCCAAGTCTCTGGCTCTTCTTTTTTCTTTTTTTTTGAACCAGAGTCTTGCTGTGTCTCCCAGGCTGGAGTGCAATGGCGCAATCTCGGCATACTGCAACCTCTGCCTCCTGGGTTCAAGCGATTCTTCTGCCTCAGCCTTCCAAGTAGCTGGGTTTATAGGCCACCACTCCTGGCTAATTTTTTTGTATTTTTAATAGAGACGAGGTTTCACCATGTTGACCAGGCTGGTGTCGAATGCCTGACCTCACGATCAGCCCGCCTCAGCCTCCCAAAGTGCTGGGATTACAGGCGTGAGCCACTGTACCCAGTGTCTCTGACTCTTCTATTGCACTTTTCCCAAAAGAATAGAAGCCCAGCACGGTACACCATAACTTCTTGGATAAATTGTTTCTTGGGTATACAGATCCCATGAGAGTAATTTTTCTTAAAACTATAAGGCAGCCAGTTACGGTGACTCATACCTGTAATCCCAGCACTTTGGAAGGAAAAGACAGGGGGATTGCTTAAGCTCAGGATTTCAAGACCGGCCTGGGCAACATAGCGAGACTTTGTCTTTCATAAAAGTAAAAAAAAATTGGCCAGGTGTGGTGGTGCATACCTGCAACCCCACCTACAGGAGACTGAGGCAGGAGGATCACTGGAGCCCAGGAGGTAGAGGCTACAGTGAGCTATGATTGTGCCACTGCACTCCAGCCTAGGCAAGTGGCTGTCTCCAGCCAGGGCAAGATGCTGTCTCTAAAAATAAAAATAACCTACAGAGCAGTCAAAGCAAAGCAATACAGAGTTAGAAGAACCACAACCAGGCATCTATGACTGGAATCTTTATTTTTTCACTGTACTCCTTCCCCTCTCTTCCCTGGGTGTTTATTTTTATTAAATAAAATGACTGCAGACATTACAAGCATGGCATTTTTTATACTTAGGCAGATGCCTTAATTTGACCTAATTTATTTATTTATTTGTTTATTCAACAACTATTTATTGGACATTTACTTTGTGTGAGGCACAATGCTAAGTGCTAAAGCTGTGAAGATAAATCTCTGCTCTACTGAATTTCAGTCTAGTGGGAGAGAGAGACAAGGACATAGTCTGTTTCTTTACTGTATAAGTTATCCAATAGAGGTAGACACCAAGTGTTGTGGTAGCACAAACTTCACTGTTGTCAGTGAAGGTTCCTAGGGGAAGTGTGTGCTAGGGTTAGTCCTGAGGAATAAATAAGAGTAGAAAGTTAGGGTTATTCATAGAATTTTACTCCATCTTCTGTGAAGATGGAGAATACTTACCAAATCCTGGAGGCAGAAGAAAACATGGCTAAGTTATGGTCTGGGGAAAACAGGATAATTAGGGTTGAAGCAGGAAAATGTTTGTTAATTGTGTGGAAGAATTTATAATAAAGGCCAGGTGTGGTGGCTCACACCTGTAATCCCATCACTCTGGGAGGCTGAGGTGGGTGGATCACTTGAGACCAGAAGTTTGAGACCAGCCTGACCAACATAGTGAAATACCATCTAAAATACAAAAATTAGTGGGGCATGGTGGTGTACAAATGTAGTTTCAGCTACTTGGGAGACTGAGGCACAAGAATTGCTTGAGCCTGGGAGACGGGAGACAAGGTTGCAGTGAGCTGAGATCACGCCATTGCACTTTAGCCTGGGCAACAAAGCAAGACTGTCTCCAAAGGAAAAAAAAAAAAAAAAAAAAAAAAAAAAAAAAAAACAATTAATGATTGACTAGAATAAGGCAGATTATCAGTGATATGGTGTCTCACCAGATTTCTTTAGAATCTTAAGAGCCTCAGAAAGTATGCTATAGGGTTTCTGGGGAAAAGACCTTTTATATGGTAGGATCCACTGTCCTCATCTCCCCAGAAAGGGGTATAGGCAGCATGGCTCTGACCCTCATAAACCTATCAGTGCCTACTACTTGATAATAGAATGGAGACCATGTTACCTGATTGTGAACCCCTTCTTTCTTATATTTTTGCAGGCACCCTAGAATACGTTTCCACACAGGCCTTGTGGATGCCCACCTCTACTGCTTGAAAAAATACGTTGTGGATTTCCTAATGGAAAATGGGTAAGAAGGAGGGTGGTAGAGTCAAACATACAGTGCTTAACAAGCTACCTTGTGAATCCATTAAATTTTATTTTATTTTATTTTATTTTTTATTTTATTTTATTTTATTTTTGAGATGGAGTTTCACTCTTGTTACCCAGGCTGGAGTGCAATGGTGTACTCTCGGCTCACCACAACCTCCACCTCCTGGGTTCAGGCAATTCTCCTGCCTCAGCCTCCTGAGTAGCTGGGATTACAGGCACATGCCACCACGCCCAGCTAATTTTTTTTTGTATTTTTAGTAGAGACGAGGTTTCACCATGTTGACCAGGATGGTCTCGATTTCTTGACCTCGTGATCCACCCGCCTCGGCCTCCCAAAGTGCTGGGATTATAGGCTTGAGCCACCGTGCCCGGCAATCCATTAAATTTTAAACCTTCATAATTAGATAACCAGTTTCTAAAAATAGCACAATAGCACAGTTCTCACTTTTGTTTTAGAAATGAAATTATGTCATCAACATAGTTTTATCTGTACCAGAGTCCCCTGCTTGCATTTTTGCAGTGTTATAAGAAATCAGTAAAATATTTTATAACACTTACAGTAACCCATGATGCCTCTTTCTGTCCAATTCCAGGCTCTTCTTCCCTCCTTCAACAGGAGCGAGCTCCACAGCCCTTATGCTATTTGTCTCTAATTATATGCTCTTCTCCTAGGCAATTATCCAGTAGATAGGCCCTCTTAGCAAAGGGCTAGAGACTTACCACAAAAGAGGAGAAAAAGGAGAGCATGTTTCCCCCCAATTTTAGAAAAGAAACCCACCTCAATGAGTAAACTTTCATGACTGCAGAGAAATAAAATTTGGCACATTTTCTGATTTTTTTTTTTTTTTTTTTTTTTTTTTTTGAGAACAGAATTGTAGGACTTAAATACTTTCCAGAGATTGTGTCTGGCAGATCACAGGAATTGAGTTTTCAAAGAGAAAACCCCTTTTGCAGTTGGTCTCAAGGATTTTTTTTATAAGAAAAGCAGCTACAGTCCTCAAAGGAACAGGTGGGAAAGATTTAAAAACTGCATGGTTAAGGAAAGAAGCAGCTAGCTTCCCTTGATGACTGCTGGATAAGTTTGGAAAGTTCACCAGTGCTATTCAAGGCAGAAACTTATCTAGGTGAACAGATACCACCATAGCAAGTGGTATCTCAGACCATCTGGAGAAAAGAATTTGAGAACCTTGGTTTAAATGCTGTCTCTGCCTTTGGCTGATAGACTCGAATATATATCAGAATATTAAGAGGAAGGAGGATTGTTCCTCTGCCCTTTATGATTTTTCTTTCAGTGTCCTACCCCTTACCCCCCACAACACTTGCTAAGTTCCTTTGGGGAGGCCCATATAGAGCCAATGACAAACCAAATCATTTGGACTTTGAGAAAGCTTTCCCAAGGATTGTTTTATCTCTATTTCCCCTACCAAGGCTGCTGTTGCCCTGCTCCCTTCTGACCTCTGGAAAATATTTTCATTCCATCAACATATACTTATTAAGCACTTATTATGAGACAGGCATTGTGCTAGAGAAACCATGGGATCTATGATAAATAAACAGATATGGCCCTGCCCTCATAGAAATTATAGCCTAAGCTCCATGGTGGAATGTGGAGACCTTGCTTTTTAGATAGCAGGGTAACTTGTTGCCAAGATCTAGAGGGTGATCCAAAACCTATTTTTCAATTACCAGTCTGGACTGTTTGTATTCCAAAAATGAAATTAACTCTTGGCCACTGAAGGGTTTATTTTCACTCCCAAATAAAAATGAAGCCATATGAAATGAGCCTATGCTTTGATGGGCAAAAGGGGATACAACTATGTTAGAAAGTTTGACTTTTTAAAAAAACCATTTATTATGGAAAATTTCACATAAATGCAAAAGTAAAGAAAATAATGAACTCCCATATATCCATCACACAGTTTCAACAATTATCAACTTGTTGTCAATTTGGTTTTATATATGCCACCATTTCTGTCCCCCATTACCCTAAATTGTTTTAAAGCGAGGCATTTTGATATAATTTCATCTGTAAATATTATATTTCAGTATGTATAGTTAAGATATATGGACCCTTCCAGGATGATGATATTTAAAATAGATATATATTTTATGTATACATACATATATATGGGGGGGCTCTTTTTTGTTAATAAACAAATGGCTTAATACCGTTATCACACCTACAGAAAACTGACAGTGCTCCTAAATACTATCAAGAGGAGTGTGACTTTTGGTATCTGAATATGGAGGCAGTTTTACAGCAAACCTAGTCATCTCATCCTGGTTGTTACAGCTTATTTGTAGCTCATTTGGCCAATACCAGTTAGTTATTTCCCCACCTGGCAAGTGTAGCACAATGGTATGTGTACCTTGAGGACAAGCCTGAAGTTGGTGATATGGCTACAGGTCCCAGCCAGAAGCTCTACGGAATGAGACTTTCCCAGAACCTACTGCAGTAGAGAATGATACAGAGCCTCAGCACATACTACTTCCCCATCTCAAGATCAGTTTAGGAGACGCTTATCTCTTTCTTCCCCACATTCACCGTCACCTCTCAGAGTTACTAGAATCAAAGAGCATATATTAAAAATTAGTATATTTCAATATATTTGAAAAAGTAAAAAGGCGCAGTAGGGCAAATTAGAATGGTATTTGAGGGAGATTCTTCATTCTCAGTAAATAGCCTGGAATAGTGAAGGTCTTTGAAAAGTTGTGGGAGGCTGGGTGCGGTGGCTCAAGCCTGTAATCCCAGCACTTTGGGAGGCCAAGGTGGATCACGAGGTCAGGAGTTTGAGACCAGTCTGGCCAACATGGTGAAACCCCATCTCGACTAAAAAATACACAAACATTAGCCAGCCGTGGTGGCGCACACCTGTAATCCCAGCTACTCAAGAGGCTGAGGCAGCAGAATTGCTTGAACCCAGGAGGCAGAGGTTGTAGTGAGCTGAGATCCCACCACTGTACTCCAGCCTGGGTGACAGAGTGAAACTCCGTCTCAAAAGAGAAAAAGAAAAAGAAAAGTTGTGGGAGGTGGGATTGAATTGGTTGGTAGAAAGTAGCAGCATGTAGAATGTCTTAAAAGCTGAGCAAGGAGGCCGGGCGCGGTGGCTCAAGCCTGTAATCCCAGCACTTTGGGAGGCCGAGGCGGGTGGATCACGAGGTCAAGAGATCGAGACCATCCTGGCCAACATGGTGAAACCCCGTCTCTACTAAAAATACAAAAAATTAGCTGGGCATGGTGGCGCGTGCCTGTGATCCCAGCTACTCAGGAGGCTGAGGCAGGAGAATTGCCTGAACCCAGGAGGCGGAGGTTGTTGCGGTGAGCCGAGATCGCGCCATTGCACTCCAGCCTGGGTAACAAGAGTGAAACTCCGTCTCAAAAAAAAAGGCTGAGCAAGGAGTTACAGATCTTTAAACAGAATAGTCTTATAGGAAATGAGCAATGATACAAACTGGCAAGTGAACGTAAACCATTCTGCATGGGAAAGATATTTCTTCAAGATAAGTAGGAGACTCTTATAATCATCTGGTCATCAAATGATGACTCCGTTAGGAATGCAAAGGAAAGAGTAAACCTATGAGATACAGCTTCAAGAAAGGACTGCCGTAGCAATCCTTCATTATATTTCACCTCTGAGAGTTAACATTTTCTACCCTGTGTTCTTTATGCAGGAAAGCTTCATGTTTTCTTCAAAGTCACACTTATGTTTTGTTAGTTGCTTATATGTTAATATTTTCCACTCAAATTCTTTGAGAACGGATATCTACCTGGATTTGTAAGGCATTCAGTATATGCTTGATGAATGGGGGAAAGGAGATGTAGTGACAGATAACAGAAGCAATTTAGTATTAATACCTTAATAATGAAAGAAGAGAGGTGGGTTTCTACAGCTGACTAAGCAGAAAAGCTATAGGGAGAGCCTCAGAGAGAAGAAAATCTATACTCTCTTTGTTGAGAAGTAAGTAACTGTATACGTTTTACAAGTTTTTTTATCCACTTCTGAATATATTATGATAGATGAATGTTCCACCGAATCTCCTGAATATTTTAATTCAAATGTGTTGGATTCTATGTCCAGGGCAAAATTAGAGCTTAGTCTGAGTATTGTGACTGTGATACCTCTTGATAACTGAGTGTTTCTCCCTCTTTTACAATATCAGCTGCATTAAACCTAAAGAAGCTGACCTCTTAGGAGGTCTGGAAGCCCAGGTATTGGCCCAGCTCTTTGCTTGCCTTAGTAGGAGTTGCTCTTAGACCTGAGTCAGGGCCCTAGATTGGCACTGGCCCAGTGAAGGACTCAAGCAATATGCCAGCTTTCTGAGTTAAAGCCATGGGATACAGGAAATATATATCAAGATTAGTCTTGATTTCCTCTTAGTACAGAAACACCTCCGTGCCCCCCATTTGTCCTTCTCTCTCTTTCCCTAATCTGCTAGACCTGCTAGCCTCTTTAAGAGACTTAAAGGTAAAAAAAAAAAGAAAGAAAAATAAAATTAAATTAAATTTTAAAAAAAAAGAGAGACTTAAAGGAGATTAGTTTTCTTAACAGGAAGAATTAAGACTGATTACTTCCTTCTTGTCCAGAAGTATCCATGGTTACAGTCAACCTCTTATAGTGTTAGAATCTGATATTGCCATTCAGTGCTTATAGTCTTGGGGTTGGACCTTCAGAGCAGGAAGACAGGAGGAAATAAGAAAATTACCTTTAACAGCACCTACCATGTACCAGGCGCTATGCTGGGTGCTTTTCACATATATTCATTTCTTACAATAGTTCTCTCATTAGGTATTAATTATACTCATACTATAGAGGAAGAAAATGCTCTAAAGTCATTTGCTCAATGTCATGCAGCCACAGCCTCAACAAAATTCATCACTATTGAATTGATTGCCAGCAACAACTACCACAGATGTTGGATATCTCTATTGCCAACATACTTACATGCACATGCGTATGACTCACACTTGGAAGAATA